CAGCAGATCTGTGGGACCCATTCATCACACACGTCCTGCTTAACCACTCTCCATGATTAAATATTTACAATAAGAATATCTTTATCATTAAAACCCTAAATAAAAGGATTACAGAGAAAGTCAGAATAGTTCAGTAGGAAACAGCACTAATTATTTTCACCCTTGTGGGTTTTTCTACATTCAGTACTTGAATTTCAAAATGAAAATATTGAGATAAACTCCCTCTTTCATGTTAGCACAGTTAGGGGGATTTCTTATTTGGTGTGAAGTCTGAAAAGGGAAAATTAACACTCATTTAATCATTTACGTTCAGTCATGATTTAGGCCCTGAGCAACAAAGCATTTAAGCAGGAGATACAATTTTATGCAGTCATGTATTCCAGTGACTCCAGATGGATTATTCAGTGGCCTGAAGTGAAAAGTTGTTTATTCAGAGTACGGGAAGAGCAAGATTCCTGTGTGCTGGAAGCTGAGTTGAGGAGCCCAAGCGGGGCAGATGGATACTGAGAGTGTTTGATCTGGGGTCCAGAACACAGAGCTCAGTCCCTGCACAGCCACCAGCACTGGTGGTGATCCCCGGCTCACAGGGACTTTGTGACCTCGGAAAAGTCAGGAAACGAATGAGAGTCATTTCTGGGCTGGGGGAAAAGTCACAGAGATGAATATTGCCAGAAAGCTGAACTCACTGCCGGTCAAGGGACGCAGAAATGCCAAGGATGGTTTGAGCACAGAGAAGCTGTTTGCTGCACAGCCGGAAAGGAAACAAGCAGAGGAGCAGGAAGGGGGTTGTCAGGTCCCCAGCACTATTGAAGTTATCCTTCCACATCTGCACAGCTGAAGTGGGTTTTGTTTAAACATCCCTAGTATAGGACATGTATAGGATATGTATAGGATATGTCTAGGATATGTCTAGGATATTAGGGGATCCTTGTGTCATTGTAAGACAGGGTCATCCTCAAATGGCAATTTTCATCTCCTTTCAAATCTTGTCTGTTTTTTTGGGGGGGAGAAGGGTGGATATAAGGAAAGATGATGAGCACCATAACCATTGCTAGTTTTTCCTGCACTGTTTATATATGAATATCATCATAATTTTATCTAAATTAATCTAAGCCCATTCAAACTTTATAAAATGCCATTAATAACCCTGAAAACAAAGAAAGGCATTTACTGAGTACAACAGCCCAGCTCTGTGATTAAGGTGCTATCCAAATTCACCTCTCAGAGTGTTTCAGAGTGATTTCCTTCTGGCTCAACTACAGCCACAACATCGTAGAGATCAGTATCTGTACCATCTGAGTATCATCCAATGCCATCTAAAGGACTGACTAAACAGGAAATAATACACAGATAAGAAGATAAAATGCCCTCAGCATTTCCTCAAAACAGGTAAAAAGACTCACCTCTCAAGATATATATGCTCATTATGAGACAAAAGTATAAATTCTCACAAGTTACATCTAATCTTTAGAAAAGATGAAAAAAACATTAGTCAGGATTTGACTGAAAGTTTTAGAACCACGGATGGAAACTGAAGAGGCTCCTGTCCTCCCAGCACAAGGCTGGACGTGGGCAGCTCCAGAGTGTCACCTGCAGTGCCAGCTGCTCAGGAGCCACAGGAGCCTTCTCTCCCTGGGAGGAGATTGTTGTCAGGAGTAGCCCAGGTGAGGAAGAGCAGCGTAACCCTGAGCAGAGTCCCCGAGGCCGGGCAGCCTGAGGGGAAGGACAGCTCTGACTTCAGACTCAGCTCCTCTGCCCCTTGGTGCCCCCAGCCCCCGAGGGCTGTGTCTGGAGGGGTTGTGGAGGTAGCCCAGTGCCTGCTCTTCCCACGTGTGGGCATAACAGGATAGAAATTGGACCTCTCAGTAGTTCCAGCACATATGCAAAGTTTTAAATGCTATCCCTAAAATGTTCACAAAGTCAACCCAGACAATCTAAGTGTTCTGGTTTATCGCTCTCCCCAGTAACAGGGTCAAATGATTCATCAAAAACCTCTCCATGTAATCCTACAGAGGTAGATGAATACACAGTTGATGGATTGTGGATGTGTACCCAAGCTGCTGTATTGTCCAGGTCCAAAAACTTGCAATAAATTAATTTAATCAGGAAACATCACTCTGATATGAATGTGTAATGGCACTGATTTATACTTTGAGCTGCCAAAGCCAGGAGCCAGCTTAGCAGTTGAGAGCCCACAGAGCTCAAGGTTTCAAAACAAACAACTCTCCTTGGAGATTAGATGTTGCAAAAGATGCAAGCAGGCAGGAAAAGGAATGTTTTGCCTCCTGCTAAAGCATTAACCCAGTACAGGATTGAAGTATTCAAATGTACCTGAAAATGTTTCTTTCAAAAGCTGTTTGATCAAGTACCCTCCATTAGAGCACTGCCTCTTGTATGCCCATATACTCCCCTAATGACTCCTTTTTTCTTTCTGTTGTTTTGTCTCACCCACTAAAACCCGAGAGCCTGTGGTCCTTGCAGTGGCACAGAGCCAGGAGGCCTCTGTGCTGGGCTGTGACACCATGGGCAGGTCCTGTGGCAAGCCGTGCAGTTTGTACAGCAGGTCTGATGGCAGAATAGCAATTCCTTTTTCAATCCCAGTCTGTCTGGAAGAGCACAGTAAACCCAAGTGGTTTGTGGGATTACACACAGAGAGAGGTGGCTGGAGAAGGAATGAACAGGCTCCCCAGGGCAGTGGTCACAGCACTGACAGAGTTCAAGAAGCATTTGGATGATACTCTCAGGCACATGGTGTGACTCTAGGGGATGATCTTGTGCAGGGCTATGAGTTGGACTCAATGATCCTTGTGGGTCCCTTCCAGCTCAGCGTATCCCGTGGTTCTGTGATCTCTGGTGGTCTCTGCACTCGCACAGGTAGATCTGCTCTGCAGCACTGCAGCCCCCACTATCAACTGGGACTGCAGAATGCTTGGCCCAGCTGTGTGTTCCTCTCGGACAGACAGTCCAAGTCTCCTTGCTGTGGGGATGTCCTGCCTTTTGAAGTGCCAGCTGCCCAGTGTAAGCCCTGCAGAGTGACAGTCCTGCAGCAGGCACAGCACAGCCAGCACGAGCTGTGGGTGTCCCACTGGGGCTCTGCTGCTGCTCTCCAGCTGTGTTTGGCAGGTGCTGAGCCATCCTTGCCTCCTCTGGTGGGATCAGACCAGCATGATTTTTGGATAGAACATATACACTCACACACAACACATGCAGATTATACCTGAACACATCCGGGTTACAAAGGGAAGAGCTTGGGAGATGTCAGGTTTAGTCTGCCCTGGAGTGGCTCTTACTGAGCTCCCTAAGGCATTGTGTAAATCAGGAGTGCCCACAGTGCTGTTCCACAGGCTGAGCTGAGCACACAGCCTGGGCAGTGCTCTGGGGAACCAGGCTGGCTGATGGAAGCCATTCCTGCTGTTAAAACGTCTTCATTCATTGCAGGGAGCAGTGAGTGAGGTGGTTTGCAGAGAGGATGGAGGACTGGAAAGCAGCTGAGAAATTCCATGAGAAATGAAGCTCATCCCTCCGTGAGCTACACCTACCTGAAGGTACCAGGTGAGTTACTGTGGCCAGGCTTTATCCAAATTACATCTTATCTACCGCTTCTGCTCATGCATGATGACGATACCCTCATTACATGGCAAGGAATTCAGATAACACAGGAATGAGTTCATGGCAAAGCCCAGGAGGAAATGACTCCTTCCATGTGCAGAGGAGGATCTGATGAGCGTGCAGTACGTGAGGCCACCAGCCACACGAGACATCGCCCTGACTGGGGAACAGGAGCACTTTGGAGTCAGACCCAAGCTCCACAAACCAGTGTGGCCCAGCTCATGATGGTTTGGGTTTGCCACCTTCCATGGCCATTCCTCAGGGTCGTTTTTGGTTTGTGAATTCCTAAATGTTTTTAAGTAGGATAAAAATTCTCACTTGAAAATTAGGGGTTTTTTTTCAATCCCATTCCTTCCATGAGAAGCATTGGTTTTTCTAATCAGTTTCTTTCCCTTTTACTTCAGTGTCTTTAAGTCAATCGGATACAGATACTTGGATAGGAAAATTTCTGTGCGGATAATTAAAGTTCAGTTTAGTTTTACAAGCTAATAAAAAAGGGGCTGTACAAAGGAAAACGTTGCTCAAATTACACATAAGCGTTGCACTGCAAGGTGTTTCCAAAGGAGCAGGGCTAACCTTTCCCAGCGGGCTCCCTTCTTTCCTTGCCTTTATCCACAGAAAGGGCTCGGCTTTTCCCTTCCGTGCAGCCGCCCACCAGGTGCGGCGCGGGACACGCCAGAGCTCCCGGTCAGTCACACGCACCCACAGCCCGTGACTCGGGGCAGCTCGGGCCGGGGCTGCGGGGACGGGACAGAACTCGGGAGCCCTGCGGGAGCAGAGCGGGGCCGGGCCCCTGTGGCGGGGATCCGAGCGCGCGGTGCCGTGCGGGGCACAGATGTCGCACGGGCCGCTCCGCAAGGGCCGGGCGTTTCACGCAGCGCCGCTCTTTGCCCGGTGCGGGAGCGGGGCCCGCACGTGCGCGGGGCGGGCGCGGCGGGCGCGGCCCCTTTAAGGCGCGCGGCGGCGCGGGGCGCCCATGTGGAGGGCAGCACGCGTGTTGTGCTGCGCGCCCATTGGCTCGCGCGCGCTGACAGCGCGGCCCGGGCCGCGAGCGCACTGCGGGGGGAGCGCCGCACGCAAAACGCGGCGCCCGGATCGCGCCGCCGCCGGATCGGGGCCGCGCCCGCCGCGCCCGCGCACGGCGCCAGCTCCGGGGCCGCGCCCGCCCCGCGCCCGCCCCGCGCCGCCGGCCGGGCCGCGGGGCCGCCCACAGAGCCCCGCGCTGGGCCGGCCGCCGCGTCGCGGCCCGCCCCGTCCCGTCCGGGCGGCGCCCCGCGCTCCGCTCCACGTCTTGGCGCCGCCCGCCGCGTAGTAGCGGGGCCGCGCCAGCGCCCGCCTGTTGTGTTTCTGTTGCCACCCGCCATCTTGTCGCCAGCGCTGCGGCCGGCGGGGCGAGCCCGGGGCGAGCGGGCGGGGCGGGCCCGCGCTCCGGGCGGCGGCGGCGGCGGTGGCGGCCGGGCCCGCGCCATGAGCATCGAGACGCTGCTGGAGGCGGCGCGGTTCCTGGAGTGGCAAGCGCAGCGGCAGCAGACCGCACGTGGTGAGGGCCGCCCGCCCGCGCCGCGCAGGGCCGCGCCTGACAGCCTCGGCCGGTCGGGCCGGCACGGGCGCGGGCACCGGGGCGGGGGGGCACCGGCGCGGGCTTTGCGCTGCCGGCGGGGCCCGGCCGGGAGCGGCGACGGCGGGGGAAGCGCGGGGCGGGCGGGGCGATGACAGGGCACGGGGGCTCGGGGGCAGCGGGGCGGGGGCTCCGTGCGGGGGGCAGCCCGGCCGGCCCTGCTCCCGCCGGGGGCGCCGCCGCCCCCGCCCCGCGCGCTGCGTGTCCCCGGCCGGCGGGGGGGCGGGGCCGTGACGCGTCAGACCGCGCCCCCCACCACGTGCGCGCGGCCCCGCCCCGCGCGGCCCCCCCGGGGCTGCGGGACCCGCCCGGGACCCCGGGACGGGTCGGGGAATTCCCCGCACGCCCGCACCGCTCTCCCGGTTCGGCGGCCCTGGGCCCTCCGGGAGCCGCGGTCCGTGCCCCGGGGGCCGCCGCCCGCACGTGGCTGCAGGAGAAAAGCCTTGGCCCCACTCCCACGGCGGCCCCGGCGCGGGGACTCGGGTGGACCTGCGGGAGCAGCGCTTTGTGCCGCCGCCCATCGTGTCGGTGATGAGTCACGCAGCAGACGGGGGATGCGGTGATGCGGGGCCGCGCAGGACCGGCAGGATTCCCGAGCCCGGAACAAACCTCGGGATTTGGGGCCGGCAGGGCCCGCTCTCCCCGCCGGGCAGTGACAGCTCCAGCGCTGCCCCCAGCCCGGGACAGCCCCCTCACCCCTGCCAGCCCCGGGCTGGTACCGGCTCCGGGCTGGCTGTGCCCCGGGCTCGACACTGAAACAGCCGGGGCTCGTGCTCTGCAGGGCTGTGCGTGGTGGCTCCTGCTGCCGGAGAGATTCCCACTACTGCCTGTGCTGTGGGAACATCCTGTGAGTGGGAGCAAAAAGTGGGGGTCTGGGATACAGAGGAGCAGGAGAGACCTGTCTCATCGTGCTGGGCAACCAACCTCTGAGGCAAGAATTCTTGCTGAGTCGGACATGGGCAAGGCAACACTCCAAGGAAAAGACATCATGCAGATTTCCCAGCTCCAGGAGAAGCTTGTAGGGATGTGTGGGGGTGCGATGTTCCACCAAAGACCGCTGCAGGCAGGAGCTACCAGGGAGGGTACGTGGAACCCAGTCCCTGTGTCTGCTGCACAGACACGTCAGGCCTCACAAAACAGGAGCAGCAGCATCAGTGCAAACGTGGCCACTTCAGGGAAGTCTGAGCACCAGGAAGATGTGTGGCACGGGAGGGAGGAGCCCTGCGTGTGACCTTTGGGTGGCAGGAAGATGTCAGGGGAGAGCACAAGCAGAGGAGTAGCTGGGAAAGACCAGGAAGCAATGAAGTGTTCTGGGTTGCCTTCCTTGCCTTGCCGTTTTCCTCTCCTGCCCCTTCAAATCTGTGTTCTGAGAAGTGTTATGATCTGCATTACACCCCCAGTTACCCTGCAGAACTCCAGGGGGCCAGTCTGGCCTGAAAATCAATGCATTTTGGGAACAGCATTAAATAATGTACACCTGAGCTAATCTAAGGCTGCTGGGTCTGAAGCTAACAGTGGTGCCTGGCCAGGGGCAGGAGGGCAGGATGGAGATGCCCGGGAATCCCTGGTGATGGGGCCGGGAGTGTGGGCTGCAGTCAGTCGGTGGGGCTGCACCAGCCCCAGAGTATCACACCCATACTACCTACACTTTTGGTTTTCCATACCTGGGAATAAAGGGCAGGAAATGTCTCCCAGTCAGCCAGACTTATCGTCCCATCTTTATGAAAAACAAACTGATAAAAGGAAAACCAGAAAGGCTGTGGAGGAAAGGAGAGTAGAATGTCTCAGTGAGGGAAGATGGTCAAGGTATGTCAGGTCCCCTCTGTGGGGATCCCTGTCATGTGGAGCACTTCAGGACCTGCTCAGGAAAACATGGACTGTGAGGCACAGCTGGTCATTCCACCTGCCGGGAGCACCAGGGCCACCCCCAGCCAGACAGAGCTGGTGGAGACTGCTGTGTGCAGTGTGGGACTGAGAGGGAGGGCTTTCTGAGGAGAGGAGATGAAGAAGGATTCCTTGAGAGCAAACAGCATTTGGATCTACACATTCTCCTTGGACTTTGGGAGGTCAGACTGGCAGCTTTTGTCGCTGCTTTGTCATTCTTTTTGCAGTTGATAGTTACTGGGGTGCAACCTGGATCATCTCCAGCTTTGGGGTGCAGCTGGTGGGAGCCCAGACTCAAGCCCTTGACACAGGAGTGGAGTGCTGCTGCAGCACCATGGGCTGGTTCCCGTGAGCACACACACGTCTGAGCAGTGACATCCCATCCCCTGCCTGTGACTGTGTCCTCTGCTCGGCTCTGGTACCAGCATGGCTTTTCCTGCCTCTTCAGCCTCTTCCACCAGTGGAAAATCAAACCATGTAGGCTTTGCTTTTCTGAATTTATAACCAGAGTAAGTTGTCCCCTGTGCCCTCAGCTTTCTGAGGGCAGCTTATTGCTTTGGGGAACTGTGACAATGTTTGGGTTTTCTGGGGTGAACCTGTCACGGCCACCCTGACCCACTGCAGGGAGACCCAGGTGGTTCTTGGTGTGGAGCCCACCCAGGGTTCCTGCTCCTGGCTCAGGGAATCATAGAGTGTGGTTCAAATTGCATTTACAAGATGTTTACCTGAAAGCCCATTGAATATTATGTATTATAAGTATTTCAGAAAACATAATTTCAAATTTCTGAAAACAGTAGAGTTTGGTATGTCAGCTTGAGCTGTACCAGTGAGAGAAACAGCTCCCAAGGGAGTTGCGACATGGGGTCTCAGGGTGAAAGGGATTTGGGTGCCTTGGGATCCTCGAGCTGAATCACTCGGTGTTGCAGCCGGGTTCAGACCTTGCTGAAACACTTGCTGGAATTGGAAGGATGCAGCACAAGTGGTTGGTTGTTATCTTCCAGTAAGCTGGGAGGAAAATGCAGGTGACAGGGGGTAGGAGGAATGGTTTGCTTTGTAATGACACAGCTGCCCATATACATCTACGGAATCCTCCCTGACACTTCTACAACATAAGCATTGACTACTTAAAATAGTAGGTTTTGAGGCTCTTTTGCTTGTGTGCTCATTGCACACCCTGGTGTGATCCCATGCGTGTGCTGGGGTTGGCTGGATGCTTCCTGCTGGGCCTGCGTGGCTTGGAGAGTTTCTTACAACTGGATGGATTTTCTGTAGATTTGCAGAGAAATGTGGCAGAAATGAAACTGCAGTGGTTTGGCTCATCTGTGCTGTGTGTGTGCGCTCAGCAGACCCGTTCTCCTACATGGTGACAAATGTTCTGTAAATGATGGTACCAGTAGTATCGTTATTTGGATCTCATTAATTTGTGGGGAGCAAACCAACAGCTGTGGGGAGGTGAAGGGAACAGCTGATGTGTTGCATTTCTATACTGTGAACACCGTGGGGATGCAGACAGTGACACCCACTGTGGGGGCCATACACCAGCATTTCTGGTTGTTCTGGGGGTCAGCATGCTGAAGCACTCTTGTCCCCACCTGTGTTCATGCTTCACAATGCTGCTGCTGCTGCTGTAACCCTCTTGCTGTAAGCACATGGCTCCCAGGCACGTAAACTCATATTTACACGGCACAGACCCACAGCTCAGGGTCCTTCCCCTGTTACGTGCGAGCTCCAGAGACATTTGACTTGAATTACAGGGTGGCCAATTTCTTTGAATTTAGGTTAATCTGAGAATGTTTTGTGAACAAAGAAAAACAAATTTCATTATAATTGCAAGTAACTAGTATTTGTTTTGTTAGGGTTTTTCCCATAGATGCTCATCTGTGAGCGCTCAGCTCGTGCTCGCTGCTCCTGGTGCCGCGCAGTTCGTTCACACCGTTCCTTCCCCGGGCAGTGCGAGCACGGGCAGTGACCCTGCAGCAAGCACAGTTAGGGGCTTTTCCTTCTCAACAAACTGCCAAACACTGGAATAGCATATTAAGGCACAATGTAAATTATCCATAGAGACTTGAAAAGCTGTTAATGTTAGAAACATTTGCCAGGTATTTATTTGGTTATGGTTGATTCCTCTTTGGGGTTTGGGAGACGAACTACAAGATTTCTTGAGGGTCTTTCCCTGCTGCGTTCCAGGAGCTGTGGTGGTTTTGTTTGAAAGGAAATGCTTCCTTGTAAGCCATCTGTCTCCGTAAAGTAGGAATAAAATGCGTGTGCTTGCTAGATTTTATCAGGCAAGAGGATCACCGTGTCATTTCTCTTAATTGAAGTCAGGTTTGGATACCTAGGTCACTGGTTTCACTAGTGGTCTGTACTGGTTGGAGCTAAGGAGGGATAGTTCACATGAGGGCTGATTTTCCTTTGCCTTTAGAGATATGGCATGAAGGTGTGATCATCCTTTGGCTGACAAAGTGGAGATTTGAGTGTTGTTAGCAGTGAATGGTGACCCAGTCTGCAGGTGAGGTGTGAGCAAGTGGCAGCAGTGCCGGTGCAGTGAGATCACTCATCAGGGAGAGTGTCAGGTGGGAGTGGGGGTCTCTGAACCCTGAAACCAAAACCCCAGGAGGGCTGGCTTAGCTCTCACGCTTCTGAGTCCTAACTGTGAAGCATTTCAGGAGCCTTTGTGACCAGCATGCTCCTAAAATATGGTTTAGTCTTTATCTCATGTGCCATCGTGGCCCAGTGTGTGTGAGGAGGAAGGGACATGGGACGGTTTGGTATCAGGCTTGAAGTGTCACCACGTGCCCAGCAGCCAACTCCGTAGTGTGGGCATGGGGGTGGGAAGCAGGGCCGTGTTGGGTCTGCCACGTTACTGGTGGGGAAGCAGCAGTGTAAAGGGACGCCAAACAGTGAGACTTTAGCAAAGATGGTAGAGAAAAATGGGGCTTTTATTGTGCTGCTGTCATCCAGGATTCAGAGGGGCTCAGAGAAGGGGGTCCCAATTTCAAAGTGGTCTCAGTCCTACAGCATGTTCCTGTATGTGGAAGCATCCATGGCTGGTGACTACAGCCTCTGGTGTCAGCAGCATTCCCTATGCTCAGAGCTTGCCTGGCTCAGGCTGAGCTTTGCTGGGCTCCAATTCTGCTGACTGTTCTTATCTTCCCTTTCCTTGTTCTCCTCTGCAGAGCCAGGGACCTGCAGAAACAGAAACCAACCTTCAGGCTCCAGCCTGCCCTTTCTCTTGGCATGGGTGTCCCCCTCCAGGCTGGCCTTGGGAGGAGGAAATACCTGGAGATTCTTTCTGTCCCCAGCACTTTCCTGGTAGGAGCCTGGGGTGACTGCTGCAGGTGACACTGCTCTAGATCCTGTGTTAGTGACACCCAGGCCATTCCCTTCTGGGGATATGGCTGTTTGGGGTGTGCAGAATAAGCTCCCAGAAGCAATGAATGGTTCAGAAAAACAGTTTAGACCATTCAGAAAATGACAGCACAGAACTACCAGTGCCTCGCTGTTCCAGAGTTAGGGATGTCCATTGAGCACACACAGAGCACAGAAGTAGGATGATTTGCTATGCAAAGGCACCCTTGATAAATTCTGAGTACTGATAGTGTCCCTAGTGAAAAATAGGAGCATTAAAAGGGCACTGACATTCCTTAAGGCCTGCTCCTCCTGCAGCACCCCGGGAGGCTCAGGCTGTGCCCTGGGGCAGGGGGGGCACATGTGTCTCTGCCCCACACTGCTCTCTGTGTCTGCAGCCCTGGCTGTGACGGGTGGTGTTTCCAGGGCAGGCAAAAGGGAGGAGATATATTTAAACCCAGCAGATTATTAGGTAACAAAGTTAAGAGTGCCTTGGTACTGTGTATTCCTGGACCATGAGGGCCTTAAAATAGCACCAGGCCACCGGTCAGGAGTGTTGACCCTGTTTCTGTGTCCTCCTAGGAGAGGATTTGCTGTTCTGTCCCATGGCTGCTGGTGTTGCTGTTGCTGTCTGGGTGGCGTGGCCAGAGAGCTGAGGTCCCTGCTCTCACCATGAGGGCTTGATGGCAGACAGAGTGGTGTGGGCAGGGTGGGATTCCTGATCCCTGCGTGCCTGGCCTGTGGTTCAGACCCCTGGAGCGTTCTCAGAGCGGGTTCGCTCACTTGGTTTGTCTCATCCTCAGCCCCCTTGATAAGAGTGTCAAGAATGAGTGGAAATCACATAATTTTGGGTGCACCTTTGGGTTCATCAGTCCTTGTAGCCCAAGGGGATGCCCTGAGCCTTGGCTTCCTTCTGTGTCTGGGCTTGCAGGAGTTCCTGTGCTGAGTGCACTGCATGGGAAGGACTGACCCTCATGTGTGTCTGAGCACACGGTGCGCTGGTCACTCATCCCTGACGTGTCTGTGACCCACTGTGGGTGAACTTCCCTCATATAGAAGGGTGTCTTTGGTTTGTGTGCAAGGTGTGAGTACAAACTGAGCAGGAGACAGAACTTTATCACCCAATGGAAGGGTTTCTATCCTAAGAGGTGACTCAGGGACCCTCCAGTCCTCTCACTGGGGAGGAGTTGGCAGTGTGGATCCTTTCTGCCTGTGGATGAGTCAGACACAAAAGGACAGGGGCTCACTGGTGTCAGATTTTGGCTAAAAAAAATCCTTGAAATAAACTCTTTAGCTCAAGGGAGCTCAAGATTTGCAACACCAAAGGCCTTGCTGGCAGTTTGTCAGCAGCCCGAGGGCTGCACCTGCTTCCAGAGACATTTACATAAATATTTCTGATCAGTAATGCATGCTTTAACCTTGCTTCCCTGTTCTCCTGCATCCCTGAGGAAGGAACACTGCTCATTGTAGGAGTTTTGTGCCGACTCCTGCTCCCACACGGCAGCACTGCCGGTGCAGACCTTGGCTGTCCTGGCTGGATCCTCTGCTCTGCTGTGGCGACGTCACCTCCAGCCACCAGTGCAGTCACCAGTGCAGCCCAGGCAGGTCCCACTCTTCACCAGACCCCACCAGGGCTTCCCATTAATGGGCTTCCCTGCTACTCCCTCCCCTCCATCCCGGGGCAGTTCTAAGTCTGGGTGGAAGTTGTGTGGTCTGTGGTCCGGCGTGTGCCCGGAAAGCGGGTGCTGCTCAGCCCCGCCGCTCTCCCCGTGTCCCAGGCCGGGTGCCCAGGCTGCCCTGGCGCCTGCAGCATGGCCAGACACGCACAGGGAACACCGTGAGTCAGCAGGTCCCCAGGGCTGGGTTTCCTCGTGTGCCCTGTGCCAGGGCCATTGCATTGGCTCTGGCTGCGAACCAGCAGCAAAGTGGAGCAAAAGATCTGCAGACAAAGGGCTTTTCTGTATTGGTTATTAATGTTGTTCATTTGAGCCACGCAGAAATTGTAGGTAGCTAAGATTTGTACTTACATCAGGAGATTCCTGCTGGGGTTTTTGCCACCCTGCACTGCTTTGCTTCTTCCTTTAAGGAAATGTTGATAATTACCCTGAAATATTTTGAGAAAATACAGAGGAATGCTGCTTTCAGCCTTAGCTGCTGCTTAAACATCCTCCCTCCTGTTTTGGAGTCAGTCAGATCTTTTGCTCACTTACCCCTACTTGTGTTGCAGGAGTTGAATTAAAACTTTGGATTTGAGTCTCGGGCAACCCTAGGAGGAGTGCTGTATGGATGTGAAATCCTTCCTCATCATGGAATTTCATGGGTGCCTTTCCCAGTGCTGTAGGGTCAGAGACTGGGGCTGCAGCCCTGGTGCTGGAGCTCAGACCGGGGGTGTGGTTCTCCCTATGTGGTTGCTGGACAGTGTTCACCTGGTCAGATGGGTGCCTGACCCTGTTCATGAGCTCCTAAAGTGGGTGGGGATGTGTTTGGGCTGTTGCTGCAACTGAACTTCAGGAAATCGCGTCAGCTGAATCTAGGGCAGTGTCACTGTGCAGTCACATGTACCAAAGGGCATTCAGACTCAGGAATAAGAGTTTTGTTCCCTTTATTCTCTCTGTAGCTTTTGCACTACGCCCCTCAAAAGGCAGGTAAGAAATTATCCCAGCAGTGGCAGGGCCCCTGAGGCGTGGTGAGGGCTGGGCAGCTCTGTGCCTGGGAGGACCCTTTTCCCCTTGTTCTACTTGTTATGTTCAGTGCAGCTTCTTCTTGAAGATCACTGCGGGGTTGAACGTAACCTGGTAATTCCAGGTTGCAGGATATACTCTCTTCTATCAAATTTCCTAAGTATACACTCCAGCTTCAGCATTTCGGTTGAACCCAGGCTTCTCCTGGGAACAGGCTCTGTTGGGATGTCTCTTGGAGCTTCCTCTGAATTATTTGATACTGGCAACTGTATAAGACAGGACACCCAACCGTACGCATCCTTCCACTGATCCCTTCCTTGATGGAGTAAGGGTTTATCTTCCAAATATTTGTATATTACTGTGAAGAGGTTGGTGCAGCACTTTTAGTAGCGACTCCTCAGAGGCTTCCAGGAGCGGGATCTGCTGAGCCTCATGGACAGTGGGTTTGGAGATATTTGATTAAGGCTGTGTGATGTCTAGATGCCAGGGCCACTGGCGCCACAGGACTTGTATAAATAAATTTTCCTTGTGCCATGTTCACGCAATTAAAGCTGGAGCCCTGGATCGCGTTTGATGAGGTTTATTTTGCTAGTCGGGCCACACAGATTTAATTTACTTTGTCTGGTGTTATAAAAACATATAGGAACGTACACACATCAAAGCCAAGTTTAGGAGCTTGAATAAAAGCCACAGCAGTAAAAGAGGTGCCCTGGCGGGTTTGTGTCAGTGCAGTGTCCATGGAGCTGGGATTTACTCAGGGTAGTACAAAGCATGGGGTATTTTAACCTAAGGAGCCTGCCCTGTGCTGGTTCAAGGCTGCGGCTGGGGAAGGTCAGGGAAGTGCCACTGCTCACTGTCAGTGTTTCTCTTTCAGAGGAGAATGAGAAGCATGAGAAGCTCCGCTTGGAGAGGGAGCAGGAGCAGAAGAAGTCCAGCAAGGCCAGCGCGCCGCGGGCCAACAGTGCCCTGTCCCCGGAGGAGCCCCGAAGCGAACTGCTGGTGCCTATCTCCCCCCCGGCCCCAGTGCCCCCACCGCCCCCGCCCCTGGCAGCCCCCATTTCAGTCATTCCCATCCCTGTTGTCACCAGTTCCCCCCAGCAAGCAGCCCAAACCGCCCTGTCCCCGCCGCTCGTGCAACGCCACCAGCCCCTCGTAAGCACTCCCAGCGTCCCTAAGGAATCCTCGTCGGTGGCGCCGGTAATCCAGAGGCCACCGGGCCCACATCTGCCGGATGGGAAAGCTGCAACCCCTCCGTCGGGCAGCCCCAAGCAGCTCCAGCATTACCCGGCACCGGTCCTGGCCATCTCCCAGCACCACGTGGTCCCGCAGCCCATCCAGCCCCTGCAGCACCCGGGAGCGCCCGCGCCGCTCGGCGCCCTGAAGCTGGCTCCGGCAGACGACCTGAAACCCATCGAGCTCAAGAAGAGAATTGGAGGGTGAGTGCAGTGTGTGTGGAGGTGTCCAACAGGGACCAGGCAAAAACGGTACCAAAACATGCATCGCTCTGGAGCAGCTCCTGCTTGTGCGAAGCATTGTCAGATCAGAAATACCGAGACCCATGAATGTTTGATGTCTGTTTGGATTGCTGAGAGCAGGGTTTTTTAGCTTGATGGGATTTAATTTTCCCCCCTGACTCCACACTATAAGATTCTGTACCAGGATTTTTTTTTCCCAAGCCAGAACAGTGTTAGGAAGCAAGTCCTAGCTTGTCTGATCTCAAGTGGCATCTGGTGTTATGTTTGACAAAAGATCTCTGCTTGTACTGGTCAGAGAAATCACATGGCACTGCTGCTTGCAGGAGCTTTGTTGAAAACTGGGCTGTGATCTGGGAGATGTCATTCCCAGGACAGGGGTCATCTTAGCTGCTGTTTCAGTTTCTCAGTGCTGGAAGTGCTAAGGGCCTCCTGCTTGCCCAGAATCCTGCAGCTGGAAGAGGCTGAAGGCTGTTTAATCTGCCCTCCCCTCAGACAGGACTTGTGGCTCTGATGTTGCTCCAGGTTAGTGTTTATCTGACTTGCTCCTATGGACTTTGGCTGTTGGAGACTCTGCCTTCTCCATAGGTGGTTGTTTCCAGACCACAGTGTCCCGATACTGTCTGATATTACTGCCTGTGGAATGGGAGAACAAACCATTCCCTTCTTTGCAGCACTTCTTCCTGTTTCCCTTGGCCCTTTAGTTTTCCTGCAGGATAAGTGACCTGGATCTGTTCAGTCGTCCCTCCTGGGCTGTGCTACCTGGGCCTCTGACCGCTCCAGCGGCCTGTGGTGGGGGATGGCTGTTGGTAGCAGTGTTGGAGATGGTGTGCAAAGCCCAGGGGGGCTGGAGGAGATGGAATGTGTAGTGGACAGAAAAAGGGTTCATAGTGTCCATTGGGATGTGGAGATCCCAAAATACATAGAAGGAAACAGCAAAAGTAGTGCAGATAAGAGTTTGTGAAGATAAAGGCTTTGGTAAAATGCCAGTGATTCCTCTGTGGAAAGCTTCAGAGCCTGTCTGTAAAACACCCAGCTGTAGGAAGGGTCCATCAGCCTACACAACCCTGTCACTGCCTTTGTGTGGGCTCAGATGGCTGTGGTTTCTGCTGGCATGGGTGTACCAGGGCAGGCTGCACGAGTTTGAGTGGGGTGGCTGCGGGTGCACCCACAAACTGCTCCCATGCCATCACACTGAGCTTTGCTTCTGGGAGGCTGGGAGGGCTGTGGTCCCAGTGTGGAGTGCAGCTCACCACTGTGTCCCCCTAGAACTGCTCCATTAGACTGATGTCTTTTTCAGCCTGTAAATGTTTCATGGGAAAATGCTGTCAAATGTTTGTTTTCAAATACCTGACAATTTATTAATGGTGATTACCTCAATGCCCTGTATTTTCAGGCAAAGGCAAATTACTTTGCACAGTGTATTGAAGATACTTGAAATCTACACATCTACTAATGTACCTTAACAGCACTGTAGCTGAAAAATTGAGAACATTTATTTGTTTAGCTTTCCCTAAAAATACTCCTCTTTTGGGAGGGTGGGGATGAACTCAAACCCCAAAACCAGAAGCTCACTCTGGTTCTTCCTTGAGCGGTGACTGGAGAATTCCTGGATTGCTTCATTCCATGTATATCCTCAGCTTTGTTGTTTCAGGCACAGTAAAAACCTGAAGCAGTTGGAAGTGTCTGCCCAGTATTGAACACTTGAATTTGGAACTGCACAAACCTTGTCCCACTGGAGCGTAGGTGCAGATTACACCTTTTGTACCTTGTGTGCAGTGTATGCACAATGTGTACATCTAATGCACGTGTAAAGTATGTAGTTTATCTTGAAACGGTATGGGCAGAAATACAGATGTGCCTAATGTTACACCACTGATCTCTGAACACCTCTGTTGGTTTTGAATCTTGACCTGTATCTCCTTGACACACACACACTGCTGCAAGCACAGGTGCAATGCAGGAGTTTTCAACCTGACACTGAGCTGATCTTTGTTCTGTTTGGGTTACAGGGTTGGGACCAGGGAAGTACATAATAAATTGGAGAAGAACAGGTGCGTAGAAAGCCAGGGGTTTGGTTTTTTTAATTGTAATCTTTTTTTGGCCTATAGTCTGTCAATATTTGTTTGGCTTTGGTGGGGTTTTGTTTGTTTGTTTGTTTGTTTTTAAACAAATAACCTGAACAAAATTCTTAGTGGCTTTTACTGAATCTTGCAGCATTGCTTTGCTTTCTTCCAGCTCAGTTCTGCATTTCTGGCCTCCCCGTATGTTCTAACTGCACCACTGCGTCCCATCACCCTGTAAAGCCCCGATCCCGCAAAGCAAACCCCCGTGTGCATAACAGCGGGACTCTCTTTTAAAGTAATAAGCCAAAATCAGGGGTCAGTGTACAGTGTGAATACAAAATGAAAACCAGTTCCTGACCCAAAACTCTTACAAACCTGACTAGTTAATGAGAAATAAGGTGACAGTGGAAGCACAGGGAGATGGGATGTTTCATTTAAGGCCGCACAGTGTTCCTGACAAAGCTGGGATAGAATCCGGGCACACAGCCCTGGGGTGGGCTGGCTCAGCTGTGAGTGTGCAGGTGGGCTGGGGTCTGCTATGCACAGGTGTAGGTGCTTTGCTGGATTAAGGCCCCGTTAAGATCTCCCCTCTGTGGAACTGGACACACACAGGTGTGTGTCCCATGAGCTGACGATGCACCTGTGTTTTCTTTAGACGTGCACATTTGAAAGAGTGCTTTGAGACTTTAAAGCGCAACATCCCCAACGTAGATGACAAGAAGACCTCAAACCTCAGTGTCCTCAGGAGTGCCTTGCGATACATCCAGGTATGTGCAGCGCTCGGGGGGCTGCGGGCTGGGCTGTGCAGTGCAAAGGGAAACAGGAGGGAAAGTCTCCTTCCTCCTCCTTCTCCCACAGGATGTTGTCATTTATAAACTCCCGGTTTCCAGAGCATTTGGATCTTCTAGGAACACTTGCTTCATGCAGTCTCCTTATTCTAGAAGTTCCAAATTAACCACAAAACATCCTTACCAGCAGTGGTGACACAGGGAGCAGATAGTTCAGATGATCATAGAGGTCCAGGCTGAGTGAACTTCAGCTGCTACTTTTGGACTCAGGTGAATTTTAATTTGTATGATTTGGGGAGGTTTTCTCTTTGCTTAACTAAAACAGATTTCTGTGAAGGTTTGGTATGTCTCAAATATTTGACGAGATGGAGATGGGAGTGCAGGTCATTTGCTTGGAAGCAGGGAAAGTCTGGAATTTGGGGTTGCAGCATGAAGCTGCAGGTGGGTAGGGTACCAGGAATGAGTCTGGGGGAAAGTAAAGGTAAAATTCAGTTGTGTTTGCAGCTGGAGGGAAGTTAGTGTTTGTGTTTGCTTGTTTAACGTTTGTGAACATGGTTAATGGTAGCACAAAAGAAACTGTAGATGTCCTTTGTGAGTGTGAGTGAAATTAATAGCATGTAATGCAATTAAAATTCATCTGGAAACTGGAAGAGTTGCTGAATTTATAATGCAAATGAAGAGAGCCAGTAAACCTTGTACTTTCTAGCTAGAATAAAGGATGCTGAGGACTGATCACAATGGGCTTTTGCACTGCAAAATGTCGTCTTTTCCTCACTTTCTTCCCATTTTCCTTAGTCCCTCTCAAATATCATTTCCCTCCGGTGTTCAGAAGTGCTGGACATGGATTACTCACTTCAGCTTCACTTTGGAGAGTCAGTAATCCCTCAGAGTGAGATCAGCTCAGCCCTTCTCGTTAGTCTTCCTCAGCGATTTCCCTCAGAGAGCCTTTGTTTGGGGCAAATTCTGATGGTGCCTGTCCACTATCTGTGTTGCCCAAAAAGGTGTTTTTGGGGGTGTGGTTGTATTGCAGCCTAATGGGCATTGGAGAAGATCTGAGCCTTTCTTTGGATTTCGGCAGACTGATGTTCGTGGGGATGAGCCCCCATGAGCAGTAAGGGAGCAGAGTGATCCGGTCACTGCTGTCTGCTGTCAGGAGCGGTGTCTGGCGTTGTGGCTGACACCCTGGGAGTGCTGATGCACCTGCAGACTTCTCTGTGAACAGACTCTGCTCTGGCAGTGGTTTTACTCTGTGCTTTTGGAAAGCACCTTAAAATTCTGTTTGAGACTGTCAGTGGAGATGGGTGATCCTGCCTCTCCCTCCTCCCGGGCTCCCTCGTGCAGTGTGGGAGTCTCCAGTGTGGTGCAGGTCTGTGCTGTCTACGGGCGTGTGGACCAACAGCTCCATAAATCGCTGGGAGTGCAACCCTCAGCACGTCCTGTTAGGGGGTGTAAGGTGCTTTTTAATGGTCCAGAGGGTGTTCACAGATTCAGAACCATGTTTTGTTTCCTATAAGTTTCTGCTCAGGTCTGTTTCAGTGCCGCCTTTGAATTGTTTCTCCCAGCCTGGATCCATTCTGGGAATCAGGATGGCTGGGATCAGGTCTGTCGACCTGGCTGCTGTGGTGTGATTTCTCCCATGCTGTTGTGTGTGCCCACCATCTGGGGCTGATGGAGGTCTTGGGGTGGTGTGATTTCAATGTGTTCAATTGGTCAGTGAAGTGAAAATGCAGAGGTTGGGAGGGCTTACGGCTCAGTGTTCCCTCCTAGTGTGGGACTGTCACCAGCAGGGGCTGTGTCTGCACAACTCTGCTGTACCAGCTCTGCTGCTTGTGCACCACAGATGTTGTAGCTTGCAGGAGGAACCTCTGTGGTAGCGAGCCTGGGGTGTGCAGCACTGGGACAGGGCCAACCATCTGGGTGTCCGTCAGTCAGTGTGGCAGCATTGGGCTGGCGACAGGAGGAGTGGTCAGGCAGCCACCCCGCGTCCTGGTGCTTGCCTGGCACGGAGAAGGTCACAGTGACCTCAGGCCTGTCCCAGCCCCCCTCCCTCCACAGTGGTCAGTGCTCCCATGCCAGTGTCCTCCTCCACATGTGCAGGGAGCACATGGCGAGTGCCAGCCCTGGCTGACGTGGTGGGACTGCCCGTGGGCAGCAGCCGGCACTGACCTGGCACCGGTGCTGGCCCGCTGCCCGTGGGCAGTGACACGGCCTGGCCGTGACGTTGTGTAACCTCCTCGCCGCATCATCCCCTCCTCCTCTTACCGGGCCCTGGGAGCGTCTCTGGCAGCTGCTTGCCTGAGCTCGGAGCAGCAGGGAGGATCCCAAGCAGCAGGGAGGATCCCGAGCAGCAGGGAGGATCCCGAGCGCAGTTCTCCTTGGCAGCGCCTTCGCCGTGGGTCTGCGCCTCTGTCACAGGATTCAGTTGTGCTAAAAACTTAAGTGCTGTTTATTTGCCTGAAAGAACCCAGACCATTAGAAATCTGATTGGAATTTTCAGCATTCAGAATTAAAAATTCATCTTTTTTTATATATTTTTTTTTCTTAATGCAGTTTGAATTTAGCTGTGATCTGTTTCAGCAAAACTAACGTGTGTCAGTGTGGGGATGGGCACTGATCATGCGCCAAGCTCCATGTGTTTTACTCACAGGCTTGGTGCTTCCCTTGAAAAGAGAACAGGGAAATTGTGCAAAGGAGATTTAAAGCTAGAACCTCTCACTCCCAGGATAGTGAAGCAGTTTTTCACTAAAGGGAAAAAACCCACCAAAAACCCAAACACAAATGAGCCTCACAGGGGAGGAGCACAGTGCACCAGCTGAAGCTCTATGCAGTGGCTGCTCCGTGCCTGTGGGCATTGTGACAGTGCACTGATTTCTTCAGCCTCTCTTCCTACAAAATCCTTTTTCCCCTGTTCCAGCTGCAACTTCTTAGAAGCAGGCGGTTTGTTTCCTTGGCTGGATTTAAATATTTGTATCTGCATCAAATCAGATAAGTCAGAAAGTTAAATTCTGAACTTCCCATGGAGCTGTCATTTTAATTTATCCTTGGACATGGGCTTGTACTCTGCAACAGTAAATTACATCTGCAATTAAACACACTGTTGCACAAAGGAAATGGGGCTGAACGCAGCTGGAAGTTAATAATCCCTTAGTTGGTGATTCAGCTTAAAGCGGTGTGGGCTGTTGTTCTGTGGCTCTGGGCTGAGGGGGGTTTCCCAGCGGGTCCCACAGCAGGATGGGCTCCATTTGTTACAGGGGCCACCTCAACCCTTGTTCTTCACTCTCCTCCCCACAAAGCTTGAGTGAAAATGCTGGAGACCTCTGGGGAGTCTGTAAGATGCATGGAGTGCTTTGGCTAAAAGCATAGTGGGAATAAAACGCTGTTTGCTTTGAGAGAGCAGAGCCCTGTGTGTGTGGCTGTCCTGGAGCAGTGTCCCCTGGCAGAGGCCAGGCAGGAGAGGCCTGATTTCCTCAGAGAGTCCCACTGCAGAGGGGTCTGCTCCACCTGTGCCACGGAAGGAGGGCGGAGGAACCCAGGCCAGCCCAGCTCAGCTCAGCCCAGCTCAGCCGACACGAGACACAGCTCACAGCTTGTGCAGCTGGGCCTTCTGATGTGATTCTCCTTGAAGAATTCCTTACCCGCTAGGAAATGTTGTAATCATCATCTTTGAAAGCTAGTTGAAGCCCTTAAGCAAGACTGCTCCTCTGTTCTCAAAATGTGCCTGTCACTGTGGTACCTGAGCACTCTCCAGTTTCGGGGGTTATTTTATATTGCACATTTAGTGTAACATGACATCCAGGTGATTTGCTCACCAGGTGACACTGACGTGAGGCAGCCCAACCCAGCAGTCTCGGGTCATGCTGCATGTCCTGATGTTGGCCAGTTTCCATGGTATAACTGAAACCTGACTAAATAACAATGTGCTTCCAAAATCTGAGACGCAGCTGAGCTTCCCAGGGTGCGAAAAAGCAAAGAGCAAAATCCTTGGAAGGTGGTGAAGAAGGGCACCATGTGTTCCAAAGCCCTACATGTGCTGCTCAGGTATGGCAGAGGTATTGGGAGGCTGTTGTGCTGACACGTGTTGGGTCGTGGTCCCACAGAGCTGTGTTGGCTCTTCTGTGAAAGAGACTTTGCTTACAAATTCACACAAGTCATCTACCTGCCCTGTTTGTGGTGTTAGAGACAGAATGTAGCTGTGGTGAGCTGAGAATTTATAGTATGGCCAGTTTGTCATTATTGCCTCGGGAAGGGGTAGGAGGGGTGGAATTTCTTTCTTCCCAGGGAGCTGGGGTTTGCCATCCTGCTGATGGGACGAGTACTGGAGCAAGGCCATGGAGTGGCACTGGCTGAGTACCTGCCTCTGGGACCAGTCTTCCCAGGAACCATCCACATAAATTTTTGATGCAAACCAGTCTTTTGATTTTTCTGGTTGGTTGCACTTAAAAGACACGTATAAATGAGCAGCAAAGCCATTTAAAAGTCAGAAGGCTGCTTGTGCAAACATTGTTGCTGCCACTTGAACTGCAGCCCAGATGGCCAGGGAAATATATTACCAAAGTGAAGTAGTCTACATCTTCATGATGGAAACCTTCCCTTTCCAAAGGCAGACAGGGCTGGGCTGCAGCACCCTCCCAGCTCCTCGCAGGTGATGGTAGCAGCCCCTGACAGTTTCTGTGGCCTGATTCCTTCCTCAGGAGCTAAACAAAGTGTTCAGGCTAAAAAATAGTCCGGTGTTCCGGACTCAAGGAAACGGACATCTCTTTAGATTCCCAAGTAAATTGCTGCATTGTTCATTTTGGGGGAAGTGTGCCTGATTTCCTCCTCTGATTGCGGATGTGGCTTCCTCAGCGGAGCTGTTTCCACCTGCCTGGGCCATGGCCTCAGCTGACCTGTGGCTCTGTCACCACTGCCAGAATGGTGGCATTTTCCTTGTCATGTTTCCTTGGGTTGAAGTTAAAGCAGGGACAGAAGTTTATGAGTCT